TCGCCCCCTCTCTCTATCATCCATCTATCTATCTATCTATCTCTCCCACTCCCCTTCTCTCTATCATCTATCTATCTATCTCTTCCTCTCCCCCTCTCTCTATCATCCATCTATCTATCTATCTATCTCTCCCACTCCCCTTCTCTCTATCATCTATCTATCTACCTATCTCTCCCTCTCCCCCTCTCTCTATCATCTATCTATCTATCTATCTATCTCTCCCCCTCCCCTTCTCTCTATCATCTATCTATCTACCTATCTCTCCCTCTCCCCCTCTCTCTATCATCTATCTATCTATCTATCTATCTCTCCCACTCCCCCTCTCTCTATCATCTATCTATCTACCTATCTCTCCCTCTCCCCCTCTCTCTATCATCTATCTATCTATCTATCTATCTATCTCTCCCTCTCCCCCTCTCTCTATCATCTATCTATCTACCTATCTATCTTTCCACCCTCTCTCTCGATGCGCGCCTCATTTCGGCACGAACTGCTTATAGTAGCTTTTATGCACCACCCTCAACTTCCCGACGATCTCCCCGATCGAACTACACCCGCCGAAGGCCATCGTAGAATCCAGCTCCTCCCGTAGAATCTCCAACACCTTCTTCACTCCGTCGGCGCCGTCGTAGGCGAGACCCCACAAAACCGGCCGCCCGACGAACACGGCCCGGGCTCCGAGCGCCAGAGCCTTAAACACGTCGGCTCCCGTGCGCACGCCCGAGTCCATGTATACTTCCACTCTGCCGCCGACGGCCGCGACGACTTCCGGTAGCGCTTCGATCGCCGCCGGCTGACCGTCGAGGGTGCGTCCGCCGTGGTTCGAAACCCAGATAGCGGCGGCCTGAATAAACGGAGACGGTGCATAGGGAAAGGTTAAGCAATGTCTAGAATAATGTACCCTTAGTGTGTTATCGCACGAGAGATAGGCGAGAGAGCATGTATACATATCATCAGGAGTTAATAATGACAAATTTGTCATTATTAACTCCTGATATCATGAGTAAATAATCTATATTTGGAATATTTAGAAGAGCATATAGCATATATATATATATATATATATATATATATATATATGCTATATGCTCTTCTAAATATTAGAATCTCTTATAATTAGATAGATAAATAGATGGAGAGAGAGTGTGTGTGTGTGTGTGTGTGTGTGTGTACTCACACCGTGGTTGATGGCTAGACGGGCGTCTTCGGCTGTCAGTATGCCCTTCAGTATCACGGGCAACTTCGTCAGCTGCCTCACCCGCTCCACGACGTGCCACGACAGCTTTCCAGTCGGCTTCAGCCCTGGCTTGGGCGCGTAGACGTTACTCTCGTCGATCTCCCCAGGCAGCACGGCCTCTATGTTACGTATGCTGACGCCCGGAGGAAGGCCCACGGGCCGCCTCGAAAACGTCCAGTTGCTCGGCTTCGCCGGGTGATCTACGGTGAACACGATGGCCCGGTAACCGGCCGCCTCGGCGAGCGCGATCAGCCGCTCGGTGATGCCGAAGTCGGTGAGCGGAAACACCTGAAGGTATGTCACGGCGGGAAATCATTTCCCATTGGCGGCGGGCCATACTTACGAAGAATTTCCGATCAATCAGCAGAAGTTTTTTTGGGGGAGAAATTACACTGCAATCCTCTGAATTGACGTTGCAAGTGACACAATATAAGTTGTTAACTCAGATTTTTCCTTAATTTTTTTCTGTAAACAAGCTCGTCCCGGCACACACGCGAAATAGCCATTTTGCAACGTGATTTTACGCGCAGAAAGTAGGCTTCCTTTGATAATTCCCCGGCCGCCCCAGCAGTGCGCACCGGACAAGCCACCCACACTGTCGGATTCAGCAAGAATTCTACTTTCTGAAATTAACAACTGCAAAGAGTTCTACCCTTTTCATTGAGAAAGAAAAACATCAAACGCACAGATGCACGCCGAAATACGATCTCATTCTTGACCTGTCCCAGCGTTCATTGGTTTTCCAATTTCCAAAATACCTCGTATAAATTTCCAATAATTCGTAATACCTGCAGCCACTTGAGGCCCGTCGGCGCGGCGGCGACGACGTCGGCGACGGAGCGCGTCGAGAAGGTGCTTTGCACGTAGCAGACGTCCAGGGCGGCGGCGGCCCGTGCCGACGCCTCCTCACCGTCGGCGTGCGCGAGGCACTGTAGCGACGTCGGCGACACGCCGATCGGACAGGCGACGCGTTCGCCGAGCAGCGTCGTCGTTACGTCACGCGTGCTGACGTCACACAGCGCCGTCGGCCGGATTCTCAGCCTGCGGGGGAGGAGGAGAGAGGGGGTGAGAGAGAGGAAGCGGAGGAGGAGGAGAGAGGGGGTGAGAG